TTTAAAATAATCAACATGCCAAAATGGCACACTTCGGGAAGGCCTGCCTTGGTCCCCACAGCCCACATCCCACCTCCACCTCCTGCAAATGCCTGCACCTCTCTGAGCCTCAGTTTCCCTGTCCATACGTACAGAGAGAATAACAGTAGCTATCTTGGGGTGGTTTTGATGGGATTAATGCACATAAAGAATTTAGGACAGGACCTGGCACAGATTAAGCCTTCAATAAAAAACTACCTTACCTAATCAATAATCCGAGGACTCTGTGCGCTCTATTTAGGGTGAGGAAGGTGAAAGACTCACTCAGAGTGTAGCTAGGACATGGCAGAGCCAGGAATACTGCCCAGAGCAGGAGCCACGGAAGCCAGGGCCCTTTCCACTGTTAGTGTCAAAGGAGTTCTGAGACTAATTCCTACAGCCACACAGAAGGTGGTTAAGACAATGTTAGTAGAGTACTAGAAAACACTTCATGAGCAAAGCGGAACATTGGGAGAAAAAGGCAGGATATTCACATATCAGTATGTGACTGGGGACTTACCTGCCAGTCTGTGTAAACACTTAACATGCTTCATCTCTTTTCTCTTTATGACTCAGACACATGTGTTATTAACCCCATCTTACCCAATGGTAAAACTGAAGCCTGGAGTGATTTTAAAACGTGTGGAATATCACAAGGTTAGGAAGAATCAGATCTGGGATTTAAACCCACTTCTGTCTGATTTCGAAATCACAGCCCTTCATCAAAGAGAAGAGCACTCTAGATGAGGGGGGAAACCTGAGCTCCTTACCAGTTTGTTGGACAAATGCCAAGGTTGGGTCTGAAAGGCGTGTGGGTGGAGTTCAGGCAGAGCACGGGCAGGGAGGAGACCAGGGGAACAGGAGAGAAATGGGAAGTAAGATTTCAGGCAGATGAAGAGAGATGTGATAACCTAGGGATGAGAGGATCTTTTTCTTTTGTTAAAAGGAGACTTTCACTATCACATTCCCTTTCTCCCCACGAGTTTGGGCAGTAATGTTCCTCTTTTTAGACCTGTTTTTTTCTAAGAATCCAATTTAACTTCTGTGACTAACTCCTGCCAGATAATGAATATCAACAGTGATCCAGGAAGAGTTCATTCACCTCATCAAAGGAAATGGCTTCATCCTAAATCAAAATTGAACCTGACTCACTACAGAATCAATAACGAGCATGGCCAAGGCCAGAATCATGTCCTTGAAGGCCAGAATCCCTGACATCACCCATTAACAGGACACTAGGGTAAAAGTTCAGGGATGTTACTAAGAGCCACTTTGAGAATATGCTTAAATAAAAGCCTCTATGGGTATGTGATCTCATCTTTCTATAAGGCTTTTGAGAGAAAGGAATAGCTTTTGAATATCTTTAATTTTAATTAAATTGAATTACCTAAATACAAGTTATGGTAGAGTGCAGGAGACATATTTATTTAAATGGAAATATTTATAGATTTCTACTTTTTGTAGGGGCAAGTTATTAACCACTTCCCTCTGAGTCCTCCAAAGAACAATCTTTCATCTGGCCAAGCTGTTTTCACAGAGTAGTCTCTGAACACCCCAGAGGAGGAAGCCAAGTCCCATCTTCTCATCCTAATCCTGAGAAAGAAGGCAGGCTCCTCCAGGGACTATTGGACATTAGACCTCAGAAGGAGCCCGTATTTTTCATGAGAATTCAAAGGGAAGTGGTGAATGCCAGACTGCTTTTCCTTTTTACCCAGCTTTGGTCTCTTTCTCCTGCAGTGACAGCCCCAGGAAAACCCCCATCTCCAGAAGATATCTCCCTCTTACAAAAGTCTGACCCATAGATGCCAAAAAACTGCCTGAGTAGAATCTTCCCCATTGGTTGAGAAACAGTGATCAGGGTGGCTAGGAGTTGAGAGTTGATTCCTGAGGATATGCACGCTGACAAATTACTTCTCAGCAATCCCAGTGGTTAAATATCATCAGACAACCAGTCCTTTCCATACTGGCACATAAAAGACTATCCCCTGTATAGAGGACCAGTGACCAAGATAATGACTAGTGCTGATTACAGTCAAAGCTTCCCTTGCCTACCCATGTGGTTGCCTCCAAAACAGTAAAATAGTGTTTCTACCTCTGTTTCTTAGCTGCCTCTTTTGACCAGTAAATTAAAATAATCTACTTCCTGATAAAGACACAAATCCAGAAGATTTAAATTGTGAATCCAGGCCTTTCTAATTCTGTCTAATGTGATAATTACAGGACTTTCAGGTCAGTAGAACCAGGCAAGAGCAATTCAGAATTTTAGGTTCTGGGTCTAGAATTTGGTGGGAAGAGACTTACAATCTAATTGATTCTGCATCATGATCACAAAGCAAACCATTGTTAAATGAACCCCCCCTTTTTTTTTAACAGTGTAAAGTTATGTTATGTAAGTTGAGGTTCCACTCTTGGAATCTTGAATATGCATCTTTCTATATATTTGTTAAGTACATAAAGCTAAATAACATAAGAGCTACAATACAATATTCCTTTTAGGAGATTTTTCTACATGGGATGAATTGGCTGAGGCACCTTTAAATGTAATTTCAATGATATTTAAACTAAAGTTGGTTATCTTTTCTTAGTTAATATCCCTAAGGCAAATGTAAGCATTCTTCATCTGTCCAAAAACCACTTAACTGTGCTCAAAATTGTGTCATCTTAAATTTTTTAAAGAATAACCACCATGTGTCATATCCGGAGCCTATTCTGTACTTATATAACTGTTCTCAAACTATAAACCACACTGTACTGGACATGAAATGTGTGTAAAAGAACATTGGTTTGGGAGTGCAGTTAGTCACTCGGACCCAAACACAAAGACGGGCCAAGTTGGTTAGGTCTATGAATTTGGGTTTCAGTATTGTCCTGATCAGTGTCATCAACATCTAAAACTATGGATGAGACACATACATATATGTATGTATGTATGTATGTATGTATGTATGTATGTATAGTGTGGAACCCAAGTAGGAACCAAATTGTCAGTACAACCCATTTTTTTTCATGAGTTAGATCTTAGATACTTTGAAGAAACCCACTGTTTCAAAATTAAGAAGTGTTTTTTTTTTCAAAAGGCAATTTAAAAGTATTCAGAGAAAAAAAAAGTTTGATAAAATGAGGGACACTAATGTGAGAATTTGTTCATTCATCGCATGCCTATACATGTCGAAACTACACGACATACTGGCAATATAAGATAAATGTGCTGTCCCTATTTTTGAGGAGTTCTAAGACTAAACACGGACATATCCCACACAGGCTGGTAGGTCCTAACACAGGGATGGAGGAGCTATTCACTGGGAATGTGGAGGAGGAGGAAGAGGAGTAAACCACAGTGGGTTAGGAAGACATCTCCAACTTGCCTAGGGTCATCAAACTATAGAAATGGATTAACCCTAACCAGAGGATGGCCCTGAACATCAGATAACACGGTGCATTGGCCAGAATAGTGAAGAGCCTTGGAAATGTGTGAGCATCCTCATATTAGTACTCAGGTATGAAGAGGTTAACTCATTCAAGCTTATATGAGTTAGGAATTTGGAGCCAGTAGGTAAGGTTCACCAAGAAATACAAGCAAATGCATTTAACTGAGTTTAAGAGAGCCTTCACATCAATGAGGATATTTTGTAAACAGGTCTATCCACTACAGAGGGATCAAAGGCAAAAGAGAAGCAAGCCCAAAGAAGATCTTTTCCAACTAAAGAGATCTTGAGTCCAAAAGTACCAAAATAAGGGCTGAGACTTAGCCTTGTGTCATCTATGTCTGTGGTGAGTTCAAGGTCTCCAGAACCCTCACAGGGAAACCAAAGCTAAAGACTTCTTAGCCAAGAAAGTGTATGTGGATCATTGGATTTTGCCTGAATGATATAATCCCTAAAACATATTAATCCAGGATTAGTGAGTAAATTAGCTAATAAAAAGGTTCATTTTTTAAACAATATTATTTAATTATGTGTATAGATTGTGTAGATTGTTTTTAAGAGTTTGTCTTGTTGGGGCACCTGGGTGGCTCAGTCGCTGGGCATCCGCCTTCGGTTTGGGTTGTGATTCCAGGGTCCTGGGATTAAGCCCCGCATCGGGCTCTCTGCTCAGCAGGAAGCCAGCTTCTCCCTCTCCCACTCCCCCTGCTTGTGTTCCCTCTCTCACTGTCTCT